TTTTATTGAAAATATTTTAACTTAAATCATAATTTTTTTTACTTCAAAAAAACCTTAGCATACAAGATATAATAGATTAATAAAAACGACAAAATTAATTAATAACATCTTGCGCTACACTTTCGGTAGGCAAATGACAAGTTTTTATTATGTTTTGGGAAAATAAATATCTATAGTTTAAAGGTACAATAAATTTATCCCAATACATGAAAAAATATAAATGCAAATTTTTATGTTTTAAAATTTATTGGTCCACTTAAATTTTACAAGTAAAAAATAAACATAATCATAGCACACAAAAAACCTACTACCATTTGAAATTAAAATGTGCTGAAATATTTTACATTTTTTTAAATATTACTAGAAGATACTTTTCTACTGTGCTGAAATAGATCCAATCGGTTGTTTTTTGGTTAAGCAGATCAATATACCTTAAGCTGTCTGATTTCAAACCACACTCTGTTTTTAACTCATGTGCTTTAACTGGAGTGCTCGAATTGGTATATTATAACCAAATACGACACGATTACACTTAACATCTGAAAAACACAAAGAAGTAAAATTTGAATTCATTGAACGAAATAAAACAGCACTCGGCTTTGACTTTACAGTGTAATTTTAGAAACGTGAGAAGAAATACTGACCGATACGAGGAAAGATTCTTTCAACGGAAATACGGTTAAAGCTTGAAATTTAACATCTGTGCTTCCGCATTGATGAGAAAACAACAATTGCTAAAAATAAATGTTTTGTATTTCGATTATTCTTGATTATTTAAAAATTATTATTATCAAATTCTTACTTGATATATTATATTTTTGTACTTAATATCGTTGTTTTGCAATAAGCATTTGATCAATGTGGCGTTAATTCTTTTACTCTGTAATTTTTTAAAGATTTTTAGTATTACAAACAGAAGTTGATAATGAAGTAACGCATTACCTGTTTCATTGTTAAGCTTGCAGACTTGGTCAATAATGTAACCATAAGTAGGGTGTCAAAGAAAGATTGATAATATTGTAACAATTCAAACGTCAAACTAGTATCATTTTCAACAAACACAATGTTCATTATGTGATAACCATTACGCAAAAGGGATGCGAAATATACTGAGATGCATAGGAATATTGGTAGAGAGTAAAAATGAGACGCAGTTTGGGAAATTTCAATTAATGACATATTAATCCTCCGTAACTTTGAGATGGTCAAAAATTTTTCTTGTATATTGGTATAGCCAAAAAAATCAACACTTTCGACGCTGATAGATTTTTCAAAGCCATTTTTTAAATGGGACTCAATAATTTTAAACAGCACTTTAATCAGTATTGTAAAAAAAATATATTGTAACACTACTGCATCTGTTGTGATATTGTGAAATACTTGTACTAAAAATAATTTCGTATACCTAATATCTTCCTTATACAAAAAGTAATAAACTGCTGTAAGCATGAAAATAAAGTATTTCAAACAAATCAAAGAGACTTGTTTTATTTCTCTGAATAACGATTTTTTGTTGCTTGAATTTTTTTCCAATTTTCCAATTAACTCTTTAACTGTGTTAAGTTTTGTAAAAATTTTAATAAATTTTTTTTGTTTAAATGTGTTTTGAACCAAAATAAAATCGACTGCCACAAAAAGTAGTAAAAAATATATGGTTGCGTAAATTTTGTTAGAACTTTCTTTTCTATGCAACTTTTGGTAACTTTCTAAGTAATAATACTGCCCAATAATCAAAAGTGTTAATAAAAGTATATTATAGACCGTACCAACATACGAATAACTAAACGACCAGCGTTTAAAAATATTGTTTCTCAATGAAATCTCGTTGAAATTCATTGTTGTTGACCCAAGTATTCTATTGTAAAAATAAAATAGTTTCGTTAATGAAACATCAAATTTTTTTGAACTATTTTTTGACATCGATTCAGCGAGCATCATGTAAACGTGAGGTTTTAGCTGAAAAAAATAAACTCCTCAGTTAAAGAAAAAAAAATGATAAATTTTGAATACTTACATTTTCTTTTTTTTAAGTAAAAAGTAGTTTTGATCACCTTCCAAGTTTCCAAATAATGAGAATGTTTATTGTAAAAAACGTTGACGGGCTAGGTATAACATGAATTCGTCGATGTAAGTTGTGCTCCACCGATGACGGTTTGACTTTTGTTGCGTCCTAAAAGAGACTGACTGTAAAGGAGTGTTTCAAAATGGTGACGAATATTCGTTTATTCCCTGTACCTAATTACTTTATTTTAATAAACAAATGTTTATCGATTTATCAGTCAATCATGCTTATAACAGTATTTGTGCCAATAACAGTATACGATGAAGTACCTCAAGGTTCGTGAACAGAACGCCGTATAAATGCTGAGTCACAAAAAAATACCAGCCTTATAATTACTTGTTACTTCTGTTAATTGTATCCTAAATTATTAAACTTAGGTGTGCTGTGCTGCATGCTTTTATTGGAGCATATTGAAAAACTGTAAAAATAAAAAATAATGTGAGAAAGAAGGATTCGTACTAATATCTCTGATGTCATTTTTTTAAAACTTTCTCACAATATTTTTCAATAAATAACTGAACGTTAGTTGTAACAAATAAACTATTTAAAAATATGAACATTAGCTACATCGGTCTGATATTTTTATAATTTTGAAATTTTTAACAGAAGTACCATCAATTATATAAACCAGTATGCTAATGTTTACCTCAAATAAATAAATTATCTATTATAAATGTAAGATTGCAACTATCATTATAAAACATAATTTACTTGTATTTTAAACGTGCATTTTTGATATTTTTCTTATAAGTGTTATTTATACAGTTTATGGTATTTTTTAATTAATTTCACTTCACGTAACATACTACTCAGTAAAATAACTTTTTATTTTTATCTCAATTTCCTTGAAAGCGTGTACCCCATATGAGTTGAATAATTTTTTAGCATGATTTTTTAGCATGACTAGCAGTAAATTTAGTTGTTCACTATTACTCGTTTAGGTTTGAAAAACTTTGGCTTTCTTGTAAATTTTTACGTGATACTAAAACAAAAATTTCAATTAATAATAATAAATTGTTGTAAATTTTTTTAAAAATGTGCTATCTTACTTATTTATTTTCAGGTAATGGTCCTAGAAGAGATGCCACAAATGACGAAAACTACTATTATTAATTTCATGCACATGGATAGGGTAATAAATAAACTGACTGTTAGGTCAACTGTTTAGTTATTACATGATGAAGAAATTCAATAAAAATTGGAAAAACAAGACTTTTCCAAAGGAGTGTTCAATTACTGGTACTTTAATCTCATGTTAACATTGAAAACGCAGTCAACGACGAAATAGCCATTTACGAATATAAACGTAAAATATTACAATCGATAAGGTTTTTACAAATGAAATCAATAAATGTCCTCGATAATCATCGACTTGACAATATTGTAGTATGAGAAATATTGTACACGTGGTCTAAAACTAGTTCTTGGACTTTTTTTCTATCGCCCCTTGACTCACCTCTCATCCCTTACCGTCCAGCTAAAAAAGCTGTCATATTTATACATTATTATGAAACACGAAAACACTCCGTCTATTCATTCTCCAGCCCAAGAATGCAGTGGATCGAATGTTCCGAGGGCCCAGAAAAATGTTTCTGTAATTTTTCACCTGTCAGAATTCAATCCCCATACTCTGGGACACTGATGTCTAGGCCTGTCATAGATCAAGCATTTTTTCATTAAGTATTCCTTGGAAAGTTCTTTTCATTGTTTCCAAAAGCCAAAAAAACCTCGCATATACGCGATGTATAAATATACCTAAACGAGGGTTTTCTTTTTATGGAATAAGCTACGTGACTTCTCTTGTTACACATCGTAGAGGCTTCCGATTTTTTTTTTTCTTTTTTTTTTTTTTTTTAAGAATGAATGATGTCGAAATCGGAGCCGAGCTTGCAAGAATTTCAGGGAAAAAAAAGCTTGGTATGTCTTTCGTAAACTAAATATAGCTTCGAATGACAGCCGATGTTTTCAACACTTTCATTTGAAATGTTCAAAGTGGTAACGCTATCGATACATGTACATTTGCCTTTCAGTCCGTATGAGAAGGTTCCCTTATATTTTTGCTTTCCTGACAATAAGGACTAAATACGTTTGATTTCACTTTACTTGACTTTTTCGTTCACGGATAAAGGAAATACGGAAATTTTTACTGTAAAATTACGTAAAAAAAAAAAGAAAACAGTGCTGACTCATTACAGTAACTAATTTGTACAGAGACTCCGGTACAGATTTAAAAAGGAAATCATGTCATCTTCATCGTAAAGTTCGATGCATAGTTTTTACGTTTAGTCCTTAACCGAAGAGGGGGGGGGGTAACCACTCTGTGACCCAGTACATTTTTTTGTTCTGTATATATTTTTAGTAGTTCAAATATGTTGCATTTAAATTTCATGACCCTTGTTAAGTACACGCTTTACCATTAAAATTGTACGTGGTGCAGCGTGTCGGAATTATAATCTACAATACTACTTAGTAAATAACACACAGTATTCAGAGGGCGCAAAAAGTCTTAATTTTGCGTTCTAGTTGCGTACGTAATATACTACTTTCCACTGAGTCCATTGAGTTACCTTGCTTGCATCGATTCATGTACGTTTCAAATAATAAAAATTTGGTGCTGAAAGATATTGTTATCAAATAAATTCATGTTGAAGGGATGTAAATGGCAGAATACAGCATAGAGCTTACTTTAAAATTCTACATTTATTGTTCCATTATAAAAAACAATGTTAAAAATGAGTACATCTGATACGGTATGTAGTGTGAAAAAAATTCAACTGTCCTACAAGTATCTTCACGCTAAGGATAAAAGTCACATATATTTTGTTACCAGCACAATCGTAAAGAAATAAAATAAAATTATTTGTAAAATTTAATTTCAGTGTTGTAAAAATATACATACACCAAAATTTATTGTTTATAATTGCGTGAAAAAAAAAATTTTCTTTTTTTTTTCATGAAAATATCTAGGAGAATAAATTTCAATTAATTTTGCCTTCCATTTCACTCACAGCCACAAAGCATTGTATATTTTCTAATCAGTCATGATTTTAGTTTTATAATACACTGAAACTCAAACGTATAATATATAAGAATGAAAAAAAAATTACTCCATCAAATTTTATTTTACCACATCAAGTGTACAACCACGTTAGCTTTGACTCAATGCATCGAGTCTCCGCTTGTCGAGCTGCAACAGCAACTGATCAGGCTCTGAAACTGGTAGTGAGCACACGTGGTGATGACAGACGTAGGCTGTCGCTCGATCGTTCAATTGCTTCATCTTGCCCATGACGCTGTTCTTGCGGTACAGTATGTTGTCCGATTGTTCGTCGTCGGCGAGTATTATCACACGTCCTGGTATAAGTTGCTCTTGCACTACTCGCAATAGCTTTTTAGTATCATCTGCCTCCTTTTTGCCAACTATGTAAATCTGAAACGCAAAAATTATTTCAGAATATTTTGTACTACTCTTTGGCCACATGAAAAAAAGCTGTGATCAACTTCTACCTGAGTAATAGAATCATGTAGATGTATAAAGGCGGCTGCCAGCTCTGGACACGCTACGGGGAGTTTCATCAACATGCCTTGCATAAAACTCAATAAATTGCTAGCCTTCTCTGCAAGCTCTGGACGATCCAAGTACGAGGCTAAACTGATGAGATTTCCACACGCCGTTGAGTTTCCCGACGGCTCTGCACCATCTTGATCTAATTGGAAAGTATTTTTTTAAAAGGTAAAAAATATCGGAAATTTAGCTTTATTGCGCTAAGCCAATGATTAACTTTCTTACCATCCTTCAGCCGTAAAATGACTGAGTTATTGTCCTCGGTCGCGTAGTAGCCACCACCTGTGCTGTCCCAGAATAGGCTGTCTTGAATATCCTGCAATTGTTCAGCAAACTCAAGCCAGTGAGGGTCAAAACTGACATTGTACAAGTCGAGGAGGCCACGTATCACGAAAGCATAGTCCACTTGGAAGCCGTGAATCGGCGTGTTGGTCTGTGAAATTTGATTGTTGTCACCGCGATAACAGCTTCGCAACAGCACTTGCTTCTCTCGATCAAAGAGGTAGCGTTCGATAAACTTGGCAGTGTTCGCGGCGTATTCAACGTACTGAGAATTGTCCAGGGCTGAGGCTGCGTGTGACAATCCGCTTATCATGAGACCTGAAGAAAAATACCAGCAGTGAGCTAATTGAGTGATCGAAACTTTTTTTAACTTCAGCACTATGAATTGATCTACCGTTCCAGGCAGTAACCATTTTGTCGTCCAGGTGAGGTCTTGGTCTCTTTTTTCGCTCTTCGTATAATATATTCAAAGATTTTTGCAGTAGAGATTTTACAACTTCGGAACTCAGATTGAAGTGCTCGGCAGTTTTGTCTACGCTTCCAAACACTATCAAAACGTTTTTTCCCGTTAATTCACCGTGAGGATCCTTTAAAAAAAAAAAAAAAAAAATTAGTAAATAATAAATTA